ACCTTAAGAGAGGACATGATGGAGAGTCACACAGGATGGGCCAACATCCGCGTCACTGGAGGAAATATCTGAAATAATGAGATCGTAATTGCTTCAGAATATTTGAGCATATAGCACAAAAAGGGGAGGGGAAGAATAAACAGAGAAGATTTCAGGAAGTCAGATTTAATCTGGGAATTTAATTACAAATAGATAGAACAGAGGAAAAAGAACTCTCCAGGGTGGGGGCGACTGCTTGGGGAGGCGGTGGGGAAAGAGCCCTGGCTTTGGAAGGAGAAGACCTGGGATCAAGTCCCAACCCTGTTTCTTACTGCCTGTGGGACCTCGAACAAATCCCCTGCCTTCTTCTGGCCTCTGTTTCCTTCTCTATAAAATAAAGAGGGTAGACTCCCTGATCGTCCAGATCCCACCCAGGTCTCAGTCCCACAATTCTAGCCAGTCCAGTAAAATAATATCAATTCAGATGCCTCTGAGATGCCTAGAGGACACTCCTATTCCCCAGAGGGAGAGTGAAATGTGGTGGGACTCTCAGAGTCCTTTCAACTGTGGCTGGAGTTGAAATTCTGGGTTTTGAGGAATGGCTGCCCCTTCAAGTCACACAGCCAGAAAGTCCCCCTCCTGTGGCCTGTTGGGAGGAAGCGGAGGAAATGGGCAGACAGACTTCATTCCCAAGGTGCTGGAGCCCCCAAATGGGAGCTATGGTCATGCCTTTAGATGGGGAGACATCGAGGTATGAAAAAACATGGGGAAATTCAGCCTGGAAGCAGTGGGAGGCGCTCAAGTCCGTGAACAGGAGAGGAAAGAAGTGAGCAGAGCTAGAGATGCAAAGATGTTGTACCAGGTACCAAATCTAGCCGGCTGGGACGCCTGAGATGATGCTTGAGTTAGGTTTCTCAGCACCCCCTGGTGGTCACGAGAGAAACCGGCTGCAACAAAGCATTTATTGGAGGAGAAAGCTTAATAATGTGGTACTCGTTGGAGAGGGATGCAGGTGTGAATCAAATAAAAGCTTGAATTTGGGGATATGTCTAAGTAACAGTTTTTAGAGACACAGGGTTATATTTGACATTAGGAAAATCCCCAACAACAGAGCTATGCAAAAGTGAATCAAGCTACCCCCAGAGGTAGGATCCCCCTCCCCGGGGGTCTCTGAGCAGAGACTGGAGGGCCGCTTGATGGGTGTATTATGGTGAGGATTCCTTTCGGGTACGGGTAGGTCTAGACGCCTTCTAACTCTAAATACCGTGATTCTTCAAAATGCAATTATCAGCTTACAAGTACATACAATGAGCTGGGCTAAAGGAGCATTCTCTAGCAGGGGTTCTTAGGAGAAACTGTTTCAGAATCATAGATTCAGACCTGGAAGGGGCTTTTGGAGGTCATCTAGTCTAACCCCATCCTTTTCCAGATAAGGAAACTGAGGTAGGCAGAAGTGAAGTCAGTTGCTAGCTATCTGGAACCCTAGAAAATCATTTAACATCTCAGTTCCCAGACAACTATCAAAAAACAGGTGATTTGCCAGTTTTCACCAGAGGAAGGAGATTCTCCCACCCTCCTACTGCACACCCCCCTAATGAAATAATAGGTCAAGACTCTGCAAAGTCTTTCATAAGCACCCCAGGAAGCAGCCCACTAACACTTTTTCCCTAAGACCATCACAATCAAGCCCTCTCTACCAGCTTCCTGTGTCATGGTCAGGTGGGGACCCAGATTGCCACTGGGTCCAGTGGCCCCTTGGGTTGCCAGTGGTGGTGTTGGTAATGATGGTGGGTTTTAGGGTCTACATGGTCCTTCGCAGTCCCCCCACTTAATTCTCATCACAGCTTTGCCAACAAGGTGGGGCGATGATTAATAGCCCTATTTTGCAAATGAGGAAACAAAGGCAGACAGGTTCATAGAATTCTGAGCTGAAGGAGACCTCAGAGTCCATTTTGGTTCAACCCCTCTCATTTTTGTTTGGATATGATGAGCCCAAGGTGACAGAGGTAAGAGGGCCAGTCAAGACACAAACAGCCAGGTCTCTCAGCTCCACTTTTCATGGTAACACTGGTGAAATGATTGCCCAAGACAGCCAGTAAGAGGCATAGCTGGGATTTGAACCCAGGTCTCCAGACACACAATCCAATGTTCTTTCCACTACAGTTTTCTCAGAGACTAGATGGTAGGGATGCTGCGAGGGAAGGGGATGATGAAATGATGCACCTTCTAGAGCAGCCCTCAGAGGCCACAGGGATGAGGGAAGGAGTGTTTGCAGCCTCCAAGCTGTTTGTTCTGGTTTTATCCTATAGCATTTTCCCAGTTTTGACACTTACTAGCCGGACTCCTTTGGGCAAAATGCCAAACCTTGGTTTTGTCCATGGGGTTAATGATTCTGACCAATACTCTCTTAGTGGAGCTGTTGTGAGAAAAGCTCTTTATAAACCAGAAGACTATGGAAATGTAAGTTAGGTTCATCTTCGTCATTCCTCATTCACTGAAATTCCATGGAGGGTCTAGGGAAGTTCATAGGTGGGAGAGCATGAGCACTGAGAGCCAGTGTGGTATGGTGGAGAGGGAACTGGATCTGCAGTTAGGAAGACATGTATTCAAATCCTGGCTTTAACAGCTAGCCTCAATATAGTACTATGAGGTTTACAAAGCTCTTTACACGTTACCTCCTTTGGTCCTCATTCAGCCCTTGAAGGTAGATCCCATTGTAGAGATGAGGAAACTGAGGCAGACAATCTAAGTGACTTGCCCATGGTCACATGACTAATAAGTGTCTGAGGCTAGATTCGAACTCAGGTCCTCTGTACTCCAGACCCAGCACTCTACCCCTGTACCCCCCTGCTGCCTTGTGGCCTCTCTGAGCCTCAGCTCCCTCATCTGCCGGATGAGGAGGTGACGCTCAATGACATAAGGTCCCTCCAGTTCCAAACCCATGATCCTGTGACCTCCAGTCCTCTGCCCCTTTTTATTCTTAGGAGCCGGTGACTGCAGCCTTCCTCCCTCCCCGGTCAGCTCCTGCCATTGACTTTTGTCCTTTCCCATCCCTCACCGGGCTAGACCCTGAGTAACTGCCAGTCTGTCAATAAGCATTTATTAAGTGCCTTCTATGTGCCAGGCACAGTGCTAAATGCTGGGGATACAAACAAAGGCAAAAGATTGTCCCTGCCCTCAAGGAGCTTATAGTCTAGTGGGGGAGGCAACATGAAAACACCTGGGTACAAAACAGGACAAGTTGGAGGTAACCAGTCAGGCACTGGTGTCAGGGGGCAGGAAGAGGCTTCTTTTAGAAGGTGGGATTTTAGGAGCAGCTAGGTGGCGCTGCAGTGGATAGAACACCGGCCCTGGATTCAGCAGGACTAAGTTCAAATCCGGCCTCAGACACATAACACTTACTAGCTGTGTGACCCTGGGCAAGTCACTTAACCCCACTGATTTTAGCTGGAACCTGAAAGAAGCCAGGAGGCAGAGATGGGGAGGGGGATGATTCTAGGGAGGGGGCCAGCCAGTGACAATACCCAGAGTCAGGAGACGGCGGGTCTTGTGGAGGCAACGGTGAGGAGGCCGGTGTCCGAGATCACAGCAGAAAGGGGTGACACCTGAAATGCCAGCCCTGAGCCCTAAAGAAGGTTGTTGCTCAGGCGACCGGCTACACTCACCACAGAGAGATTTTCAGGGACACTGAATGTTTAGCGATGCCTACCTTTGTTTGCTCTGAGCCCTGTCGGCACTGAGACTGCCCTGGCATCGTTCCTCATCTCCTCCAAGCTGCCTCCCCCGAAGGGCCCTTCCTCGTGTTGATGCGTGGATTCTGATGCCAACCAGGCAGCTGGCCCATCGACTGCTTCAGTAAAACCACGAATCGGCCAAAGGGCCCGGGTGGAGCAGAATCCAGTCTGTGAGCCAAGGTTAGCTTGTTCCAGATGAAGCTCCTGGGCCATTCCTCCTACCTCCACTCCTCCCTCCCCCACCTCCACCTAAGGCAAAACAGCAGGGAGTAGTGGCAATTCAGGGAAATTCATTTAATTCGTTTAGGACCCTGGCTTGGTGCTAGAGTGCCAATGTGAAAACAAAATGGATCCTGTCCTTCCAGGGGCTTTTATTCTACACCCCTTTGTGTGCCTTCTTCCATTGTTAGAGAGAAGGCCCCCAGGGGGCAAGGACCATCTGGTCTTCTTGTGCTTGCATCCCCAGCCCTCACCAATGGCTGGCTCACAGTGAATGCTCAATAAATGCATTGTCCACCCATCCAGCTACTTGGGGCATACAACATTATCCAGAGAGGTAAATGCTAGAAATTTTGAGGAGGGAGATTACACCAAGGGGGATGAGGGAGGGCTTTACACAGGTAAATCACATCAACTGAGCCTTCAGCTGCCTGGGAACAGGAACAAAGAACTGAGCAACTGTGAATAGGGTGGCGCGTGAAACCAGAATGCGACTGATGGACAGGAAAGTCAAGATGGCGGAGCAGCCAGAAGTCACAGTGAAGGCCCAAGCAGGGACAATAGGAGGGAAGGAATAAGGAGAGGGGATGGACGGGAGACTGTGGCCAGGGAGTTAGAATACAGGATTCAGCAGCCGGGCAGTGGCTCAATGCCCCTGTGGTGATGGTGAAGGCTAAGGTGAGGCATCATGGGTGGAAAGTGAAATGTTGTGCTTCTTGTCTTATCTCCCCCAAAACAGCTGAAAAACAAATTCATGAAGAAGATTCCCAAGGACTCGGAAGCTTCCAACGTGTTGGTGGGAGAGGTCGACTTCTTGGACCAACCTTTTGTTGCTTTTGTGCGTCTCATCCAGTCCACCATGCTGGGAGGTGTGACCGAGGTGCCTGTGCCCACTAGGTGAGAGGTCACGGAAGCCAATCCTCGCAGTGGTGGGGTAGCCAGTCAGTCAAGTCGTCAACATAGGAAGCTCTTTAACATCCTTGGGCCTCAGTTTCCATCTCTGTAAAATGAGGAGGTCAGACAGGATGACCTCCAGGGTCCCTCCCAGATCTAGATTTTATGATCCGTTCCATAAGGAGGACGAATAAAGGAACACCAGCTGTGATGAGAAGGGAGGCCCAGGTGCCTTCGGGCTTGGGAAGTGCAGGGGGCCACTGTCTTCTCAGTATCTCAGAACAGACCCAGCAGGGAAAGTGGAAGAGCACTGAGGCGCCTGAAGGAAACTGGTCAGGTGGGCCGGACCTGGGGAGGTCAAGGAGAGAGAAAAGGATTGGAGAAAAAAGAGCTCAGAGATGAGGCTGGAATCAAATGTCACTTTCTTTCTCTGAACACACAGGCAGCAGTCGTACATACATAGTGTAGTGAAGAGAGAGCTGACCTGAGGGCTGGGTTCAAGTCCTGCCTTGAGCACAGAGTGGCTGTGAGGCTCTGGGCAAGTCACTTAACCTTGAAGTTAACCTCTCTAAGACTAAGTTGCAGATAAAGTTCCCACCTGCATTAGTGGAGAGCGTTTGCTCACATAGAGTTCCCTATACCATTGTAATCAGAAGTCCAGACTCTAGTCCTAAACACACATAGATTTTAAAAGACAGAGAGAGTCAGCTGAAGCATCATAAGATTTTAAGAAAAGACATTCCTCTGTCCGAGACATCTCCACTCCCTCCTTATTCTTCCTCTTCCTCATCTGCAAAATGGGAACAAAAAACCAGGCACCGTCTACTGTTGAGAAAGTGTTTTGTCCATGGAAAAGTACGGTCATGTGAGCTTTATCCCCCCTCTGTGTCTTCTTCCCAGATTCCTGTTCATCCTACTAGGCCCTCACGGGAAAGCCAAGTCCTACAATGAAATCGGCCGGGCCATAGCAACCCTCATGGTCGACGATGTAAGTAGCCCGGCCCCCTTGGATGCTTCTGGTGTCATGCCAGAGATAACTCTCCAGGCTGGAGGGAGAGCTGGGGACAGGGACCCCTGAGCCAGAACCGAAGGCCAGAGCAGTCAGAGAGAGCCGGGCCTGTGGAGGATGGGGCCAGAGCTAGTAACTAAACAAGGGAAAGAGGGGAGGCTGGAAGCCACAGAGGCCAAAGGTCTGAAAGCTATAAATCATCTCCAGTGATAATCTGCCAAGGCTAAGTCTGAGCCCCGCCCACAAGCCTGCAGGGAGCTCAGAGCTATACAAGGCTGCAGGGAGCTCAGAGCTATACAAGGCTGCAGGGAGCTCAGAGCTACACAGGCCCGCAGGGAGCTCAGAGCTACACAAGCCTACAAGCTATACAAGCAAGGCCCGGCACTAAGTACTGGGGACCCAAGGACTAAAAACCAAGCCTGCCAACAAGTTGCTTGAAGTCAAAATGGCAGGGAAGGAAGAGAGCGCGTCTCTACAAAAAAGTATAATCTCAAGTAATAGTCTCCCATAATAAAAAAGATAAAATAGGAATAGAAAGTGATTGATGAAGAGGAAACATCCCGGTGAGACGCTGAGAGAGCTATCCTGGAGATCAGGCCAGGCTTTGTGGGCGAGGCAGCAGCCAGTGAGCTGCTCCTTGGAAGAAGGGTTAGAAAGCCCTTCTAGCACGGGCTAGAAAGAGAGAGGTCCTATTTATCTGGAACACGAAGGCACCAACTCCAGGCTAAGTGTTCCTATTTGATCCTGCTGGCATAGGGAGCCCAGGGTCACTCAGCTAGTGAGTATTTGAGGCCGGATTTGAACTCAGACCTTCTAAGTCCAGGTCTGGCACTGTGTGCACTATGGCGCCACCTAGGTAACATTAGAGAGTAAGCAACTAGCGGCTAGGAGAATGGGAAAAGGCAGTAGGTGGTTTTGAGTTCAGTCTTGAAGGAAGGATCCAGGGAAACCCCGAGTCAAAGATGAGGAGGGAGAGCCTTCTAGAACTGGAGACAAGGTCAGCTGGGTCCTGGCAAGAGGTGATGAGGACCTGAGCTAAGGAGAGTCTAGAGAAGGGAATGGGGAGGTAAGCATGACTATTCCTTCCAGAGCACAGGAAGAGCCCACGCTGATCAAAGGGCCATTGGCTAATAATACAGTACTATGAGAGCCCTGCCCAGAAACAGGATTTGTCGGGTCTGCAGGGACCTTGGACCTCTTAGACCAACCTCCTCGTTTTACAGATAGGGAAACTGAGGCCCAGTGAGATTGGGTGATTGGCTCACGGACACACAGACGGCTGAGCCTGAACTAGCACTGTGATCTTTTTATTCTAAAAACCAGAACTCTTTACACAACCTTGGCCTCCCTAATAACAATTAAGAAGAAGAGATTTGTGCCATTGAGAGCTGAGCACTCCCCCCAAAGGGCAGAGTCCAAGGTGGAAACCTAAACCCAAAGGGCTGTGCTTCTGCGACCTTTAGCCAGAGCCCACACTGGTCCTCAGGCGGCCTCAAAGTCCGGCCACGCTTGTGTCTTCCCCTCCCACTTTTGGCTCCAGCTTTTTAGTGATGTGGCCTACAAAGCCCGAAACCGAGATGACCTGATTGCTGGCATTGACGAATTCCTGGACGAGGTGATTGTCCTTCCCCCTGGAGAGTGGGACCCAAATATCCGGATCGAGCCCCCAAAGAAAGTGCCTTCTGCTGACAAGAGGTAGGAGAGGATCCTGGGGGCCAGGAGGGGATCCCGGGCAGGGTGAGCCAGGCACAGACAGAACCCTGGCATCTTTCTCACCCACCTCCTCTTTGCAGGAAGTCCGTATTCTCTCTGAACGAGCTGGGACAGATGAATGGATCCGTGGGAGGCGGAGCTGGGGCTGGGGCTGGAGGAGGAGGTGGGGCAGATGGTGGTGGTGAAGATGGCGAGATGCCAGCTGTGCATGAAATTGGAGAAGAGCTCATCTGGACAGGAAGGTACAATCCAGAGCTGTGCCTTCATTTTCTCTACTCTTCCTACCCTATTCTCTCCCCTTATTACACCCCAAGCTCTGTGGGCACCGGCTCTGTCCCCATCACCAGCCTCCAAAATCATCCTAGAGTGGATTCATTTACTACAGCAACCTTACTTACCCTTACATCATTGATACTTTGCTGGACAGTTGTTGGGCTGGACAGCCACTCTTTGGATGTGTAGTAAGAGAATCTGGGTTTGAATCTTCCCTATAGTATTTGCTGTCCATGGGACCATTAGAGCCTTTCTGGGCCTCAGTTTCCTACTCTGTAAAATGAAGCAACAAGACTCAATGAGTCCAAAGATCACCCCAACCTTAAGTACTATGACTCTCTAGGTATGTGGATGTGACCCTGTTTCCAAAGCACTAACTGGGAATCACTAAATCAGCAGATAATTAGTATCTCTTTTGGGCTCAACGCTTTGCTGGGCACTTAGGACAGATGTGGCAGCTGTATTGAAATGTACTGACGAATTTTCACATGGAGGAGGAATTGCACACATTCTGCTTGGCCCCAGTGAACAAAACCTGGTGCTTTGGGTAAAAATTTCAGAACTACAGATTGAGGCTTGACTTAAGGAAAACCTTTATAACAAGTACAGCGGTCCAAAAGGGGAATGGGGTGCCTTTTAAAGTAGTGAGCTCCCCATCACTAGAAGTCTTCAAGCAGAGGCCAAAGGACTATTTAGCAGGGAATTTGGCAAAGAGGATTCCTGTCTCATCCAATATGGATGGAACGAGATGGTCTCGGAAGTCCTCTCTAGCTATGAAATTCTGTGAAGTCAAGAAACCCAGTTGCAGCCCTTGAAAAGCCTAAAGACATCTTCTGTCCATTGAGAAAGCCTTTTGTAATGCTGATAATTATTGCAGAACAACCCTGAAGTCAGCACTGGGCAGGGAGACCCCAGTAGATTTCTAATCCATCACCTTCGCCACTCTGCCCAGAATTTCCGTCAAAAATTTGGCTATTTCTACGTCCTTCAGCAGGACAACCCAACTAAACGTCCACCATGACCTTGGGAATAAGAAGTCTCTCAGATTCTAAGTCCTCGGATCCCTCAGATTTTCATGTACCTTGGAATGAGGGATTAGTCTCCTCACATACTGCCTTTTCTAGTATGGGTGATGCAACCTTGCAGTCTCAACAAAGACTCGCCTAGAGTGCTGAGTGCCCTGGATCTAATCGCCTTCTCCCCCGTCCCACACCCTCCATAGTCTTTGGGACTCTAGCAGTTCCCTCCTTTGTCTCTAGTTCTGCCTATCTACCTGGGCTCTGATTCTGCCTAGGGGCTGGGGTGGGGGGTGGTAGTATTCAGTTCTCAATGTTAATTTTCTTATTTACTGAGGCACCTGGTGGCAACAGTAGAGAGAGTTCTGGTCCTGGAATCAGGAAGACCTGAGATCCAACCTGGCCTCAGACACTTACTAGATGTGTAACCTGGGCAAGTCACGTAACTGCTATCTGCCTCGATTTCATCATCTGTAAAATGGAGGTGATAATAGCACCCACCTCCCAGGGTCGCTGGGAGGATCAAATGAGATACTTGTAAAATGCTTAACACAATGCCTGGCACATAGTAGGTGTTTAATAAATGTTTGTTCCCCACCACCGACCAGCTAACTACCTGGACCCCAATCCACCAGTTTCAACTCAACAAGTATTTATTAAGCATCTCCAACAGGCAAAGTTTGATTATGTTGTCATGTATACAAACCGATTTGTGAAGTCCTTCACTAAGATCAGGCACCATAGAGTGAAAGACAAAGCCAGCAATCTCCCCTTTCCCTCAGGGAACTTCCACTCTCCTTAGAGCCTGGGTTCCCAACTACAAAGATGTCTCCCTTCTGTATTGAACAGGTTTTTCGGGGGCCTGTGCCTGGATATTAAGAGGAAGCTGCCCTGGTTCCCAAGTGACTTCTATGAAGGATTCCACATCCAGTCCATCTCCGCCATCCTCTTCATCTACCTCGGCTGTATCACCAATGCCATCACCTTTGGCGGGCTTCTGGGGGATGCCACAGACAATTACCAGGTATTCCTGAGTAAGGTGACACGAGCAGAGGTCACCGGATTTGTATCTCCAAGCGTGTAGTGTCCAGCTCCATCACTGGACAGAGCTGAGCCTAAGGAGAGGACACCACCACCAAGTGGCCACGTGCTCTAAACCACACGGCTAATATTTCAGCAGAGAGCCAGATCACAACTGTGAATTTCCCATTTTTAATCACAATGATAGGACTTTGTTCAAATGACTGAACTTAAATAACGTCATCTACAGAGATGTTACCTACACATAAAGGTACAATGTGGTCACTTTTCCCCGTGACGTTCAGACATTACAGATCACAGCTCAGTCTCAGCCCAGACCTCTGTTAGATCTAAGCTAATCTAGAATCCTTAGGACTTGGCAGGATTTTGGAACACAGTTTCATGACTATAATGCAGGGCTTCCTGGAGAAAAGCTGGGTTCAGTCACAGACACTCAAACAAAGGAGTTCGTTCCCAAGTCTTAGCTGCTACCACTCTCTCTTCAGCGCTGGCTCCCGCCGCAGTGATCAGGCTGGAAGGGATTCTGGTACATCAAAGTCCAGAGCTTTTTTTTGTGGGGGTTTCCAGGTTAGGTGAAATGATTATGGTAAGTTAAGAGAGAAAAAAGTAGATAGGGAAGGCAGGAAAGAAGCATTTATTGCTTATTAGGTGCTAGGCACAGAAAGACAGCCCCTGCCCTCTAAGAGCTTACATTCTAATGGGGTTTTTGAAAACAACACACAGAAGGAAATTAAAAAGGGGAAGGGTGAGGAGGGACCTAGTGTGGGGGCAAGGTTTGGATTCCAGAAGTCAAGAGGGGGCCAGGAAGGTAATGAGGGCCAGCCTGGGCCCTTCCACAAAATGGGAAGAAGGTCCCAATGGGAAAAGGGATGGGCCCTACAGACGGATGTTCCAGGTGTAGAAGGCCTCAGGCAGGGCATGCTGAGAAATGGAATGTTCTCCCCTCCCCTCCACCGAAGATTTGTAAGCGAGACACACTCACTTTGAAGTTTAATTTGTATAATTAAGTTTTTCCCTCTCTTAAGTCTAGAGATGAACCAAACCATAAACCAAGCTTTGATGTGTAACTTCGGCAGTGGCTCCAGGGAGGGTGGGATGTTCCAGGGCCAGGAGGCCCCAGGTGCTGAGGCAAGCTCCGGGATGAGATAACCTGATTTAAAGGCCCAAGAGCCAGGAGCAGTGGGCTAGGAGGGGAATGAACATTAGGGATTAGGAGGGAACATTAGAAAGTAGGGAACTAGGACTGGGGGACACTGTAAGAAAAGGAGAAAAAGCCAGGAAACCATGTTTTTGCTCGACATCACTGACCCCCCTCCCTTGTCTGCCCCCCCCCCCAGGGCGTGATGGAGAGCTTCCTGGGCACTGCGATGGCCGGCTCCTTGTTTTGTTTCTTTGCTGGACAGCCCCTCATCATTCTCAGCAGCACTGGGCCCATTCTGATCTTCGAAAAGCTCCTGTTCGACTTCAGCAAGTAGGTACAGGCATCTTGGCGGCCTTGGAGTCTGCCAAGGGACCCCAGTGCAGGAAGGGGCCACGGGCCAAGGGCTGGGTCCCCCCCCCCCATGAAAGCACAGACTACAAACAGAAGCTGGGTGGCTATTTGCTAGGGATACCAAAGAAGAGGCAAAACGTCTGACTGAATGCGCGCCGAATTTCCTTCCAACCCTTAAGATTGTATCATATTATGAAAATGTGAAGAATGCACAGAGAGGAAAGAGAAAGTTGGCTTTGAAGCCCAAAGACCTGGGTTAAGGTTCTGTCTCTGACATATCCAAGCCGGTTGACTCGGTGACAATCAGGTGACTCCTCCACCCTCAAGGCAACTTGAGGGTGGAGACTTCAGGTGCTGAGGTGCCAACCTGCACTGGTGGAGAGAGTTTCCTCACCCAGGAGTCCCTATAACAATGAAATCATGGGCCCAGTCTCTGTCCTTGTGAAAATACCAAAACCAAATCAGGCCCCAAGTTAACAACAGGTATAAGCCCATGTCCCTGGGCTCCCAGTGAGAAAATCCTATGTTTCAGTAGCCTTTTCCCTCTCTGCTTGTTTATAATAATTACAATAATAGCTAACATTCATGTTGCACTTACTATGTGCCAGGCACTGTGCTAAGTGTTTTGTAATTATCATCACATTTGAGCCTCACAACAACTTTGAGAAGGGGCTATTTTTATCCCCATTTTACAGATAAGGAGACTGAGGCAAAGAGAGGTTAACTGAATTGCCCAGTGTCACCCAGTTAGTAAGTGGCTGAGTCTGGATTTGAACTCAGGTCTTCCTGACTCTGGGTCTAGTGTTCTATCCACTGCACCACCTCACTGCCTTTATGAAGAATAGAATGATGATGATGCTCATCTTTTAGGTCACCTCATATAGCCCTCCCCTCTATCTCCCTACTCTCCTCTCCCCAGAATTCTCAGAGTCTCAGGCAAAGTACCTAGGTACCTCCCCTACTCCCCATCACCATTCTACCAACGTCTCCCAGTCTAGCTGGTGCCACGGTGAGGCAAGCAGTGATCAGTCGGTAGAGACTGGGACAGTCTTTTTAACATTCAGGCCTTTGGCCCCCTGCGTGCTGGCTCCAGGCTCCAAGACCTCTTATCTTTGGCCCTTCCCAGGAGTAACGGCATCGACTACATGGAGTTCCGCCTCTGGATAGGCCTGCACTCCGCCCTGCAGTGCCTCATCCTGGTGGCGACAGACGCCAGCTTCATCATCAAGTACATCACCCGCTTCACCGAGGAAGGCTTCTCCACCCTCATCAGCTTCATCTTCATCTACGATGCCATCAAGAAGATGATCAGTGCCTTCATATACTACCCCATCAACATGGACTTCAATCCTGACCTCATCACCACATACAAGTGCGAATGCGTCGCCCCCGACACAGGTGACCCATGAAGCAGTCTTGGCTGAGCCGCCAAGCTTTCCTTCCTCACCCATCCTCCCTCCCTCACTGGCAGCTGCCAAAGGGTGGCTGCTCTTGGGGGTCTGATCTTGGGGCTCCTGGGACAGGCCAGAGGGCACACAGTTGAGCTATGTTTTGTTGTTTTGTTTTTGTTTTTTGCTAGGCAATGGGGTTAAATGACTTGGCCAGGGTCACACAGCTAGTAAGTGTCAAGTGTCTGAAGCTATATTTGAACACAGGTCCTCCCTAGATTCTAATCCTAGCCCTGTGCCTACTGCCTGTATGATGCTGGGCAAGCTTCTTCACTCCTCCTGGCCTCAGTTTCCTCATCTGTAAAAGCAAAAGTTTGAACAAGCTGGCCTTAATCCGCCTTTCCGTCTAACTCTATGACTGACTTGCTGAGGGTCATGGAGCCTTCCAGTGGCCTCTAGGGCCAGGTGCAAACCTCAGACTTGCCATCCCAAGTCTAGGGTCCTTGCCACTATACAATGCCAGCTCCCTCCCATGGCGGTGGGGACGGAGGGTGGGAATGATGAGGATGTTTCTCTGTGCAAAGACTCATTCCTCCCTTCATAGCTCATGGGCCATTTGCCTCCCCATAGTTTCTCTGTATTCCAGATCTCCAGTAAAACTTGACTGGATGGTAAAACTCAGTCATTTTGGGGAGCTCCGCTCTTCTCTTTGGGGAACTTTTCCTTCTAGTTGTGGCTTTTTTTATTATTGTGACTGATTTCTACCCTATTTATCTTTGCTGCACATTCCTATCTGGCTGCTTTCAAACCCAAGTGAGTATCAAGGCAAACCATGAACAACCCTCTTAACTGGACCCTTTCCGCCACATTGGCCACCAACTGTCCGTATTTTCCTCCTCACTTTGATGTGGCTTTTTTTAGAAAATGGCGTAAGGGCCTTCATAAACACAAATGGTATTTTTAGGTTGGACCATCATTGTTTAAAGCAGAAGGCGCCATAACAAGGTCTGGCTCTGGGGAAGTTGCTCATTACTCAGAGGAGGCCACACAAGCAGTTCCCTAATTGTTGGGGCCCATGTGCCCCTTGGAGAGCTCTAACATTTAGGCAGTGGCTGGCCTTCAGACAATGCTTTTAGCCTGGCATCCACTGACTCCATGGTTTGTTGAGAGACCTGGGCACCAGTGTAGAGTACAACAGAGTGATGGTCTGGGTTAATTTCCCCCAAATCACATTTCCTCAATCAACATTTATTAAGTACCTACTACGTGCCAGGCACTGTGCTAAGTATATAGCCACAACTATAGCAACAAGCCTCTGGAAGGGAGCACTGGACTTGGAGTCAGGAGACCTGAACTTAGGTCCTGCCTCATCTTTCTCAGCCTCAGTTTCCTCATCTGTAAAATGGGAGTTAAAGTAGCCCCTACCTCACGGGGCCATTGTGAGGATCAGATGAGCAGAGGTAGAGAAAGTGCTTTTGTCCTCTTTGTTCACTGTGTAAATGTTAGTGAGGAGTGGCAAGATCGGTGTGGCCTCTCTAAGCCTCAGTTTCCTCATTTGTCAGATGAGGACAATAATCCTTATACTTAGAAATCTCAGCTGTGGAAGCATTGAGCTATGATTTATCAGAATTATCGCTCCACTGCTCACTTAGCACCGAGGGGCATAGAAATCACAGCAGCAGCTGCGCCCACGTTGGGCACAGACCACAGTCAAGGCCACCCCAGAGTATTCTCCCCTCAGTTCTATACCTTCCCTTTCATTGCTGCAGGAGAATAAGAAAGATACCGTAAAACAAAAGCCTGGGGAAGCACGTGCTTCAGCAAGGAGGGGTGTAGTCAGAAAGGAGAAGTCAAGTCAACAAGCAGTTATGAATCACTTGATATATGCCCAACATCATGTAAGTGCTGGGGATCCCAAGAAAAGCCCAAATAGTCCCTGCCCTGGAGGAGCTTCCATTCTAATGGGGAGGAGACGACATGTAAAAAACCAGGTACATAACGAGATATAGACACGGGGGAAGGGAAGATTTACGAGCAGACCCCAGTCTTTGCTTCAATACTTGTGGGGAAACTCACGGACCATTACGAGGAGTACTGCAAGCAGGGCCCAGGGGAGTCACTGGGGGCCACAGAAAGGCCTGAGACACGGAAGGAGGGGGAAGAAAAGGATTAAGAGAAAAGGGCAGGGGTTTATACCCCGTCTCCAACACGTGCTAATTGTGGGTGATCCTTGTCAGCTCCCAGAAACTCTCAGTTACCCGGGTAACTCTCCAAGACTAGATGTTACAGACAAATTACCAACCTGCCCTTGTGGAGGAAACTCCTTCACTGGGAGCACCCAACACTGATGAAATCATAGATCCAGGGGACAGAAGAAAGCAGGGGAAGAGACAGACAGAGGGAGGTGGGGGAGGCAGGCAGGAGGAGAGACGGATGCAGAGGAA